GACAATGATGTGATTATAATGGACATTTTGGGATTAATAAAGCCTTGAAAGAGTGATTCTTTGTTTGTTATCTTAAACTTTCCAAAGCCAAAAGTAATAAACTGAAAAGACATTCAAACTTTCATTCTCTGTAAAAGATGTGGCTTCTACAAATTGAGTGTCTTCTGGGGTTGTGTTTGTGGGATGCATATGTTTGCTAAGAAAATAGTGTGGTTTGGAGAATTCTTTTAACCTTATTTAGATAAGACTTACTTAGTGAAGAATAAATTCAAGAATTGCATTTTTGTAACACACACACACAGAGGCCAGTAACTGGTGGCATGTGTGAAAACAGTAGTGCTAGATTTATATTTACAGCATACTTTTCATTAAAAATATTTACTATGAGACATTTTCCTATGTCACTTGCAATTTTTCAGGACCACTGGCAAAATTTAGTACAAGGTGAAGATCACTTTTCCAGAAATGACAAAAAAATATGTGCATATTCATGATTTTACGATGACCTATCCTATGTGGACGATTCATAATTTCTTCAGCGTGAGGTGAGAGAGGCTGTTTATCGCTAGAAATAGAAATGAACTAAAGGCAGCTCAGGCAGAGATTCTGTATTTTCATTCTTTTTAAAAGATGTGATTTCAAGAGCTGTGAACCTATATCCCTAAACCACTTACAGTGTAAACCAATGTTACCTCAATAAAAAAATACATTTTTATACATATGTGATGAAATAGAGGACAATTGTACAACATCATAAAACCCATACTAAAAAGGATTTCAAACATACACTAATTTTAACAGCATATTTAATGCTTAATATAATTGAGCTCATTATAGCAATCCAGTTTCCACAGCTCTCCTTTTAACACAGAACCAAAAATGGCACCACTTATTCCACAGAACTTGCTCGCGCTATAGTGAAATTTCTATGTATCTGTCAAGCTGTCTGTCCCTCACTGGAGATCCTGTCAGAAAGAATCATTTCATGATCTCACATTCACAAAGGTGCAAAGCCCAGATATGCTTGCCTTTTGAACGTCAAAAATTGTGCCGACACAAGCCTCTTCATCAAGGACTGTGGACACCAACCCCCTGCTCCCAACGTTTTTGTTCTGTGTTTTATTCAAGAGAAGGTCCTGCCACTTAGATTATCCGCAAGTTTTCAGAAATGTAGCCAGAATAATTTATTGCTTTACTGTGATGTTAGATAAGAAATTCTTCTACTATATCACTGGATATTTTGTAAATATATAGAATTCCTAATCTAATGTTATTGATAGTTTCACTTAAAAAGGTCAACACTCTCAAGCTCCTTGTTTAAACAAGAAACTGTCATCTCACTGCATGTCGGAAAAGAAAGAAATGACAATAATACTCCTATGCTTCAATAAGAAAGCCCAGAACATGCATACACCGGAGAACGCAGAGCTGTCAGTCTACATATTATTATAGACAATACATAATTAAATAAATCATTCGAATTAATGACACAGATCTCAGGGATTAAATACCATTCCACAGTTTGCAGAGCCTAGGGGTCCTACAAAGCTCTTTTATTAGAAATTGTTATTTGCAAGAAAGTTTAGATTATGTAGAATAGCATCTGCTTTTCTGCAGCTGTAAGGAAAGTAGTATATATATTTCTGTATTTCCTTCCTCATCTTCACGATCTGTATTCCCCAACATTTAGTAGGTTTCAGCGCCAAGACAAAATGCTGTGATTCTGTTTGTTGGAGTAATGGACATGATAGCATAGTTTCTAGCTGCACAAGATAATTCCCACCATTTCTTCTTCCAAGAAATACTGATAAAATTTCCAGTGGTGCAACATTCAAATCAGTATGAGAAGGACATGATTTCATTGAGAAAAATTCCAATTTCTATGCTAATTTCACAAGATTGCACAACAGATGTTCATTTAGGATATAGCCTTAATGGGAATTATAAAGAGACCTACCAGCAGATTTTACCTCTGCTGTTGACTCATAAAGTATTTGTTAAAAATATGAACCAGGTGTTCTTGTAAGGCTGGGATATGAATCTGGAACGTGAGAGTAGGGCCAGAGCTCACCTTTTCCCTCTCCTTCCTGCCTCCCTCACTCTCTCCTTCCTGCCCTTCTTTCTTGCTTTCTTTCTGAAATCTCCTTACTTCTAACCCATGGAGTGAACAAATAGCTAGATAGCTGGAAGTAAAGGAAAAAGTCAGAAAAGGGTTTTATTTGTAGAACTAAGGACTAGTTCACTCCCTAGGTAAGTCCAGCCAGTGATCAGCATGCTCGAATTCCAATTCAGACTCCATTCCTGGTTAACTCTGCAAATTTAAATAAATTACTCAGCCTCCACTAAATAGGATTTTCCTATCATTAACACAAGAACTGTATCGATATCCCTGCTCTGGGGAGAGGATTAACAGATCAGCAGGGTGCAATATTTAGAAGAGTGTGTGATAAGGTATTTCTCTTTTCTAAGGTTGTTATTCTGTTTACTGTCATTGCGTTGATCACAGTTATTATTATAATGTTAATGTTGGCATTGAAACTCACACTCAGTGAGTTCCAGTGGAAAAATAACGATTCCTTGGCACATTCATAACTCTGCAACAAAAAGTATAAAATTAGTGATACCATGCCACCCAGCAGCGAGGCAAGAGTGACTTGTCCTGGTTGAAGTTGTGACATGCTGCTAATTTCATGTGAAAACCAAGAGCAGACAAACAAAAACAAGAGCAAGCCAGTCACACAACTTCTTTCCTTGCTCGCTTGGTGGTTTTCCAATGAGAGAACACACAGGTGGACCCACACTTCCTTCTGATTCTGAGTTACTACCCAAACATTTCCATGCTGAAAGAAATCCTTCATTGGCACATAACACCTCAAACGTGTGAAGGCCTTTGGGCAAAAAATAATAGCAGATTGTTTGTTAGAGTAAATAATAAAAAGGGCTATATATAGAATTTAATACATTTTAAATGGATATTCTCTTTTTTGTAGTTTTTGTTCTGAAGCCAATAAAATCTTAATGTGGGTCTTTGTTTTTATTACTTACTACTTATTCCTTCTATCTATATTCGAACTCCAATATTCTGTCACCTCCCACTTACAAGTGTCAATCCTCCACCCCTTCATTGATTTACTATTCATCCTTATGGCTCACCTCTTTCAAAATATGTTTTAATACTACTTTGGAAGGCAGATCAAAATGATAAGATCTTAAATAAGATATCATACAATTAAATTAAAAATATAAATAATGAACAATAACAGATAGAAGTATCAGAGAGAGATATCTGATAAGATCTTAAACAAAAGGTTATCTATATTGAATTGTCAAAGATAGAAATAATGCACAATACAGAGCACGAGAGGTGTTCTGTACAGGTGAAAATTTGAAGAATGTTATGAAGAAAATGTAAAAGTGTACGGAATTTCCTGTGTCAATGTATATGTAAGGACAAGAGAGAGAAATAAGTTAAACAGTAATAATTTAAAATATAACGATAGCTGAACAGAAGGGATTCCTCTTCCTTCATCTGCATGTTTCCTTTCACGGATAATGACTTCACCTGTATCTACTCTTCACACAGCTGCTAAAGCTTCCTTTCAACTATGCACTTCTGAGTCATTGGCACAGAAGCTTCATACTTGGGAATTATATGATTTCTTCAAATGTTTTCCAGAATATCTGTAGTGAATTTTGTGCCACCCAAATCTGTTCTACTGTCCACACTGCCCCTACCCACCCCTCCACCCCCCGCTGCCTTGGAAGCCCTGCACTCGCACAGACTAAGTTGCTTATTGTTGCTCTAAATCATCCCATGCCTTGTTCAGTTCTTTTTCCTCATTCAAGAAATCTCTTGCCTTCTGCCTATGAAACATGATGCCAGTTTTTAAGAATCATGTCAAACTCATGAACTTACATACAACATCTCTTAATACTGACCCTACCTTTAATCAGCATGGAATTCCACTAATCCTACCCAGCATGGAACTTCCCCTTTATCACCACTATTTCTTATTTCCCAATACTCATCAGCACGCCTGTTCGGTTTTTCTTTCTCTCACATTCTTATCACTGGCTCATGGTAAACTCACTCTGGGGGTACTCTACTTCCCATACCCCAGGCATTTTCAGGGTAGGGGCGGCAGATTATTTATAAAATAATAAAATAATAGTAGAAACTATTATTCATAATATCTTGAATAACGTAGAGAAAAAAAAAGTAGTTAAAGAATTTGCTTAAAGGCTGGCATTTAACTGATATTCCCAATTTGCCACATGAAGAATCATAAAGGTATTCTGACATCTATCCACAAAAATCTGAGCTCTTTTGTCCTTCAATACTGGGACCCTGACGTGAAGCTTACAGGGAAAGCTGTGTGCATTCTTGCTGTCTTATGAGCATTGCCTATTCATAGTCTGCATATCCTAAGTGATACCTAGAGGAACTCCATTGTATATTTCACACTTCCCACTTAGCCAGAGCTATATTCAATGAATCCCATTTAACATGCCTGGTTTTATTATCGCAGTCATCAAAAATTCTAACTATATCAACTCCTTGCTTAAAATATGTAATTGTTCACCTTGACACCAGAACTAAAATCATAAATCCCCTGAGGGGTGCATTTACCAGATACAATTCATAACACTCCAGATTCATGCATTTGCCTTCTTGCAGGTGGGACAATAAAAGCAGAGGCTTCTGCTGTTCAGAGTCCTTGTTGCTGCCGCTGTGGGGGAGCCAGGATGCTTTTCTGTTGTGCAAACAGACACACTGACTAGGCTCATAGGGGCTGGAGCTGGGAGAGAGGGGTTTCACTGCTTCTGGTGACAAATGTGGAGAAATCGGGGAGCCTTTGATTGATGGGAGAGGACTTTGATTGATGTGAGACTGAGCAGCTACGGGCGGGCGCCAGCTGCTGGATCGTGCCCTGGACAGCGGCCTGGTCGAGGCTGCCCGCGTGTGCCGGGCGCTACGTCACCGTTTTGACGGTTTGAGTCAGTGGGGCCTGACGGCCATAAAAGCAGCCAGTAGAGGCCGTTGTCCAAGAAGAGCAGCTTGGGGTGCAGAGAGGGGAGGTCCCCAAACCTCAAAGGCGTGTGGGCGGAAGGTAAGGAGCATTGGCTAGAATGACGTCAGGCCCTCATTCCCCGCCCCTGACTGAAGGACTTTCTCGGTGGTGCTGAGAGTGGTTGTCCGGGAGCCTGCCCGTGTGGCTGGCTTCGTCACTGAGCAGGGCCTGGGGGCGTGGGGGAGGCGTCCAGGTTCAGGGATTTCGTTTCTGATGCTTTATCGATGTCCCTTGAACACAGGCAGCGACACCTGCTACAGATCACACGCCGGGCATTGATCCTGCAACGCTAACTTGTTGCTTGTCACTGGCTGTCCCAGCAGGCGGGTTACCTGAGGGCTTGTCAATACAAAGCTCCAAAGTACATACATACCTTCATTTTCTACCTTTATCCTTGTGCACTTATCATTCACAGTCTGTTTAACTTCACTGAGGATTAGCGTGAAAGGGACCGAGCGCACCCTAACACTCCCTTACTTGCCAGAATTCATCCTAAGGAAAAGATTTTCTCAAAATCCAGTCTCGCTCACTGAAGCTGGAAAGTTCATTTGCAAATTCTCTCACTGACATCGATACCATAAAAAAGCAAACGGATTGCATGATGTGGTAAAATGGAGCATTCAAGAGAAATAGTAGTGGGGCCATTGATATAAAAAGATTGAACTCGAAATTTCCTCTGACTCTAAATTATTCCTGAACATGGATGTGTTCCTGTGCACTAATACCTATTATTTTTCTTTTCTGAAAGAAATTCATAAAAGGCTTACATCGTTGCCATCAAAGATGCAGACAATAGATACAAATATACTGGAATAAATTCCTTTGTTAATTAGGTTGCCTGGAATCTTCCATGCTTAAATTTCTTCATCTGTCAATGGGGATGTTAACTCACTAACCTTATTTGATTGTTTTAATATATAAATATTTTGGTATACAACTGAATACTTAATATATTAATTGACAGTGACATGCATAGATAAGCATTGGTTTTTCATATCTCTAATTTTAGATGTTTAATTTGTTTAAATTTTTACATATTTTAAAAACTATTCTTATCAAATTATTGACAGAAACAAATTATCATTATAAAATGAAAAATAACAGAAATATAAGCCCCAACATATATAGGTGCATTTGTCTAAGACAAAAATCACCAATAGCCTATGAAAGATAGTATGTATATTGATCAGCACATTAGATATTCTTCTAATAGACAATTACTTTCTTTAAGAATAGGATTGTCTCTGAAATATATATACTACCTACAAGTATTTGAATTAAAGGAACTTGGGAAATATTGCAGCATATATTTAAACTTATCCAAATAATGAGTCAGAGTGAAAGATAAGAATGTAAAACGAACCAATTTATGAGCAAGTTAAGTATATATATCTGCATTAAGATATTTCTCCGTAGTCTCAAAAGACTGAAAACAATCTAAATGATAATTGCCTCTATGCACAGACCTAAAGAAAAATGGGTAGGTGGAAAGGGAAATCAATATTCTTTGGAGAAAATATTATTTGGATATTTAGAATGCTCTGTTGGAATCTAGGTGTTCCATTTGCAATGCTGATGATTTTTCTCTCATTTCTTCTGATGCGATGTACCCAGATTCTTCTTTGTAACCCATTATTAAAATTTGGTAGAATGATTCACACTATTTAAGGGACTTTCAGCAGTTTTTGTGGAGAATCAGCACGATCATCTTTTGCTTCAATAGCTGTGAAACTGTGTCCACTGTCCCGTCATCTCCTTTCCTGGTGGTGAGCTCTGTCATGTGTCATACAAGGCTTGTGTTCTTGGCACTGTATCAAGTAAGGAGACTTCTTAATGATGGAAAATTCTTTACTTCTTACAAGTATGATGAAATGTATTTCTTTCTAGCTTACTAGGGAGTTAAAAAAATCTGGTACAGTATTATGACTTCTAAAAGTTCACTTTTGGAACTTTTTAAAAAATTATATTTATCTTATGTAAATTAACATTGACATTACACAACAGAGTGCTTTGTGAACAATTTTATTTTATTTTGTTAAGATTTATCATTTGGAAACAAAGGTAAAATTTTGACAGAATACTTTTATGTCAGCAAGAAACCATGCAAGCACAAATACAGTGGAGAATCATCTTCAAAGTACTGCAAATAAAACAAAAACAAAGAGACGTCTAGCCAGATTTCTGTGCCCAGGTTTCACAGATGAACCAGAATTGGGAGAATCCTCTATCAGCAGAGTGACAGGGAAAAAAAGATGCCAGTTTTTCAGATGAAAAGGAGAATTATACCAAGAGAAATTACAAATTTATAGCAAGGACTGGAGAGTGCTGGGAGCAGGGTAAATAATGAATGAAGATAATATAAAATTAGTTTTCTTTTTTATATTTAATTGTCTAAAGCAAAACTGCCACAACGTGGTGAATGTTCCCAGCATATGTAACAATGAAATACATGACAACAGTGACACGGGAGAAGGGAAGGAGGGAACGAGACTATCTTGTTGCAAATTCCAGACAGGGTGCACGAAGCAGCCCAAGAGTATGTGACCACGGCTAATTAAAGAGGAATATTGAAAACCTCAGGGCAATCACGAAAAAAAAAAAAAGTGGAGATAAGATAAAATAATTAAAGCCCCAATTAGCACCAGAGAATCCAGAAAAATGAAAGAACAAAAGGCGCTAATAGAGAAGAGCCCATAAAATGGCAGATTTGATTCCAGACACTCTGATGACCAAACTAAATGTAAATGACTTAAATGACACACCACGACAGAGAGACAGAGACTGTGGACGGGACAGGAATTTATGAACTCACCAGTGGGACATGCTCTTCCAGCAGGAGGGTGTTGCACCTACTTGAGTGTCAAGCATTTTGGAGCAGGGGTTATTATTTGAAACGAAGCGAGATGCTACATAGCAAAAGGGTCAATTTCCTCAAAGATAAAACCATGTAAAATGTGTATGTTTTTAGCAACAGAGCTTGAAATACATTAAAAAATGATAACATTGCGAGTAGGCAAATACAAAATTGCAGCTAAAAGCTTCAAGACTTTCTTTAATTGCTGATGAATTAGAAAGTGAATGAGAATGTAGAGCACCCAAACAAAGCTAGCTGCCAGTTTGGCCTTGCTAGTATGTCTGCGTCGCCCTCCCTCTCACAACATCCAATTTACTTTTTTCACACACACACACACACACACACACACACACACACACGAAATATTCCCTACGACAAAACATGTACTTCTACAAAGCAAGTTAAAAATTAGAAACCATATACAATTTTTCTTCTCATAAGATTACACCGGATACAGAGGAGAGGAAGCAATCCACAGTGAAAATTTCACAGGAGTGTAGAATCCAATGTTTGGTTTGGACGGTTCTCACTTGTGAGGTGGGCTCTCCTGCGGCTCTGATCTCCGTCTCCCTGACGATAACCGACGATCAGCCTCCCTCCCCAGGCTGCTGGCCAGCTGTATGTTTTCTTTTTTTTTTTTTTTAAAGTGTTAGTTCTTTTTTTTTTTTTTTAAGATTTATTTATTTATACAAGCACTGGGTACAGTCAGAATGTGGGAGGGTGAGAGAATTCACCAGAGCCAGAGCGGGGACAGAACAGGCAGACTGACGAAATACACTGCTGAGGGGAGCAGCAGGCGGCAGGAGAGGTCTGTTGCGCCATGTGGGACCCTCGCCGGAGGCCGGGGATCGAACTGGCACTGCAGAGGCTGCGGGCAGCTTCGCAGCCCAGCGCTCAACCGCTGAGCCACCAGGGGAGGCCCCCAGCTGTATGTTTTCTTTGGAGACGTCCCTATTTAGCTCTTCTGCCCATTTTCGGGGGTGGTTTGTTTTTTGTTTGTGGAGTTGTAGTCGTCTTGGTTGATCCTGGGTAGCAGCCTCTTGTCAGATGTATGGTGTGCAAATATTTTCATATCAAGGCAAAATTTAATTGAGCTCACACACTTTCTAACGGTCCCCTTTCATCCACTGCCTTCTTTAACTTACTGCAGAGGCTTTGCTTTCCAAGGGGAGCTGTAAAGTGTTGCCTTCTTGCTTATTTATTAACTTAGAAATTTATCTCCTCACAAGGTCTTGCTGCTCATCTCCGGCACTGTTGTTCTGGGCCAGTGCCCTCTCTGGCGTCACCCATGGAGAGGACGGTGTATGCCTGTTTACACAGAGCACACTCAGCAGAGTGATGGGCGTGCGGCCGCTCCCCAGCAGCGCCGTTAAGTACCAAGCCTGTCTGCAGACAGTTAGGGGGCAACCTTTTCGACCTTATGAGTACACATCCTCATATTGACTACCGGTTCATCTTTCCCATGATGTTATTCTCACATATTCCAAGTGCATTGGTCAGGTTTTTAATAAATTCTACTGATCTGCCACATTAATATGCTACTCTTTGCTTAAATTTACAATAATACTGAGGGAATAAATTATGTTGAGATCAATTCTGGTGGAGGTTGAACATGCAAGTGCTTTCACGTAGAAAATAAATAAAATGGGGCGGGAGAGTCTCAACTTCTCACACTTGGCTCCTGAGAGCTGCAGAGCCTTGTATGTGACCTCCCCAGGTGCCTGTGTGTTGTGTGTATGGTATGTGTGGCATGTTTGATGTGTGTGGTGTGTGGTATGTGTGTGGTATGGATGTGTGTGTGGTGTGGTATATGTGTGATATGTGTGGAATGTGTGTGTAGTATGGTGTAGTATATGGTGTGTGGTATATGTGTGGTGTATGTGTGTGCATGAGATGTGTGGTATGTGTGTGTGGTGTGTGGTTTCTGTGCTGTGTGGTGTGTGTGGTGTGGTGTGAAATGTTCCAAATACCTACATGAAAGTCTTGGTTGTCAAGAGCCTGTTTTTAGGAAAGAAGTGTTACGTGAATAAGGTCATGTTAAGGGTTCATTTTCTTTTTTGAATTGTCGATTTAAAACCTGATAAGGGAAGAGGATGGAGCCAATCAAAGCCATATCCACAATGTGGGCCGGCAGAGAAGGCCTCCTTCTCCCAATGCCACACGTCCTCACTGAATGCAGCTCCCT